AAGACCCATGGTTGGGAGTGGGCCTGGTAGAGGATCTGGGGACTCCCTTGCTGGGCTGCTGCTTCCACTGGTGAGAGAGCTGGGTGTGCAGGTGGGCCAGGCTGAGTTAGGCTGGTGTACCCACTGGCATGCACAACAGCCAGAACAGGTGCAGGCAAGCTGAGATAGGCCACTGGAACAACTGGCAAGTGCTGGGACTGGATGGATGTAAATCATATCAGGATGGACCACAGTACCCCTGGGAGGTGAGCTGTGGGCACTCGCAGACTAGACAAGGCAGCAGCAGCTGTCGGCATACATGATGCATGTAACTGGGAATAGGCTGGGCTGAGCTTAGCTGCAGTCCCCTTGGGTGTGCATGAGGGCTGGATGGGATCTAGGCTGGGTTGGGATAGGCCACAGCAGAGCCGGCACACACAAAAAATCAGGGTGGGCCTGGTAGATGCTATGAAGGGCTGTCCTGACTAGACTGTGGCACCCCCCTCGTATGCATGAGGACTAGGTCTGTGGCAAACTGGCTGGACTGGGCTACAGCACTTGTCAGTTCGTGTGAGATATGAGGGTGGGGCAGAACTAACCAGGCAGATGCACTGAACCTGACCCTGTACTGGCTGGTACACATCACAGTCAGTCTGAGATCATCCTTCACAAGGTTTCTTCGGGGACTCTCCAACTGAACCACTGGACTCACACCCTGGCCACAGTGGCAATCACAGATGTATGGTCTGACCTTGGAATGCATATACTGGGACTGGGCTTCCCCATTTGCTGATGTCCGTGCAGTGAACAGCATGCCAAGATGCAAATGGGAGACCTAATGGTCAGCTCATGTAGGCCAGCAGTGGACATCAACTGCCTTATCAGAAGGCAGAAGGCAGAACAGGTTGTACAATTCTGGGTCTGTGGATGCACTAAGGTGGACTTGGTCAACCAACAGACCTTGGGAAGATTCTCTTGACCCTGGAGCAAGGAAACCAACATCGTCTCAGGGCTATCAGAACTACTCAAGTAACACCCTGGGAACACTTTGCCTCACGCTGGGGTCTCTAAGGACCATCCCAACCCCTAGGTGATGGTGTGCTATGACACCATTAGTGGCCCTCTCCCCTCCTCCCCTGCAAACACAGCAAGGAAAAAGACTGAAATATGTGTCTCACCTTCCTCCATGCCTGACCCTCCCCACCCTGATTAGAGGCCCACGAGGGCATGCATCCCTCTCAACTACATAAATGATATTTAAAATAAAATCTATCAAGTTTTAATTACTACCTTTAACAGCAAGAGCACTATGCCACACTATACACCTCACACACATGCACTTATTTAACTTCTCAACATCCACGAGGCTGAGCATTATTGAAGATACCACAATGAGCCACGAGTTTTAGCCAGGATCCACTAGCTCAGTGGGGCACACGGCTGGGGTGCACACCTTGGGAAGGACTTGGCACTCAGTCCCCTTTAAAATGCCTAGCCGTGCTTGCTTACTCTGGCAGCACATGCACTAAAAGTGTTCAGCTGGAAGCCAGCACTGAAGCGTGGTGGGTTAAGTGCAGGCGTCCCATTTGGGCACTGGTTCGTGCCCTGATTGCTCCATACACAATCCAGATCCAGCTCTCTGCAATGGTCTGGGATAAACAGTGAAAGATGGTCCAAGCCCTTGCATTCTTGGCTTAATCCTGCCTGGCTGTTGTGGCCATCTGGGGAATAAACCAGCAAATCAAAGATCCCGGGACACGGTATAATAGCCCAATGGGCTAATCTTCCCCTTACAAGCACTCAGGATCCCATATGGACACTGGTTCCTGTCCTGGCTACTCGCTGCCTGTGGCCTGGGAAAGCAGGAGGATGGCTCAAAGCCTTGGGAGCCTGCACCCAGGCTCCAGGCTTCAGTTAGGCTCAACGCCAGTCGTCGTGTCCATCTGGGAGTGAACCTCAACAGGAAGATACTATCTCTAAAAATAACAGGGGGGGAGGGGGGGAAGAGACTGAATAATTAAATAAACAAAAAAATGATCCTAACAAATATTATGAAAGTGTACAGCTATTAAACATGTTTATAATTTCCAAGCAACAACTAAATAATGAATATATGAAATAATTATGGCATGATTTATCAACAATCACATGAGAACCAGCTAGGAGGAACAATAACAATGCTGAAGATCAGAAGTGATCATCCACTTGGCTGGAAACTTCTGACAGGCTTATGAATTTCTTTTTTTTTTTTTTTTTAGATTTATTTATTTTTATTGCAAAGTCAGATATACAGAGAGGAGGAGAGACAGAGAAGAAGATCTTCCATCCGATGGTTCACTCCCCAAGTGACCGCTACGGCTGGAGTTGAGCCAATTCAAAGCCAGGAGCCAGGAGCTTCTTCCAGGTCTCCCAAGCAGGTGCAGGGTCCCAAGGCTTTGGGCCGTCCTCAACTGCTTTCCCAGGCCACAGGCAGGGAGCTGGATGGGAAGTGGAGCTGCCTGGATTAGAACCGGAGCCCATATGGGATCCCAGGCATGCAAGGCGAGGACTTTAACTACTATGCTATTGCGCTGGGCCCTCATGAATTTCTTGATGATGCTGCTGTCTCTCAGTATTCCCAGAGAAATAGATTTTTGGATATCCTGCAGAAACCAAAGTCTGCGAGTGCTCTAGTCCCTTACATACCATTGTGTAGCACTTGCATATATCTGACAGCATTCAATTCCCATGTAAACCATGTCAGCATGACAAGAAAACCTGCATGATCAGCACAGAGGCAGTTTTGATCTGAGGATTTGTGAGCTACAGATGGCTGAATCTGGGCTGTAAAGGCTATGTGGAATCCACAGCACTGTCTCTCACATTCCCCCTGCACTGCAGACAGCAGCTGAGCCACCCAAACGCAGTGGGACCACTGCGAGTCCAGGAAGTGCCTCCTGCCCCTGGACACTTGAGGCAGGGCATTCACCGAGTGATTGCCTGCTGCGAAACGGGACACTTGGCTTCCACCCCAGCTGCCTGTGAACCCAAGATTCTCAGGGTGGTCCAGCTCAGTGGAGGAAGTCCTGAGGCCCTGGGGTTGTACAAGACCCGGCCCAGAGAAGGTGAGCTGCCCTGGATGCCACAGCTGCTCTAGGGGAGGAACGCATCCCTGAAATGCTGTTCCTACAACGCAGAGGGCAAGCACGCAGGAACAGACTGGAGGGCAGTCCAGGGCGGTGGGAGCGGACAGAACAGTCAGCCAGGCTTACTGCTTACCGCGGGTGGAACCTCAGCAAAGAGGAGAGGGGCTAGACCAGCCAGTCAGCACTCCTGGCTTAATGACGCTGCAGGCCACCGTCCCAGCAAGCTCTGCCAGCAGGACATGAGAGGCATGCTCCAGGCAGGGTCCCCTGACAATGATCTCTCCTCAGCACCAGTGTGCAGGCTGACACTGCCCACGCTCGAGCCCACAAACCACCCTGCTCATTCTGATCACGCCAAGGAGTCATGGACTGCACTGCTCACTCCTCTAAACAGGAAACCAAACCCCAATTGGAACAGGGACAGGCGATTCTGCTCAGCACGCAACAGGTGCCCAAAACGGATGAGGGCTGAGGTCACAGTTGGGCTCCTACCTTCCCACTCACCCTGTGCCTGAACCCCACCACCCACTACCTCAAATCTACAAGATTCACCTTTAAAATCAGACAGCAAGCTTTCAAATTAACAAATTTCAGCATGTAGCACAATACCACAGAGTACTCTTTCTTTAGCTATCCAAGTGATGATGGAAATAAAGTACATAGGTAGTATTTGCTGGCCAAGTTCCAGGAAGTTAAAAAAATAAAAACAACACAACCCTAAAACCATTATCACAAACAAAACAAAACAAAAATTCATGCATAGTTAAGAGGACTGTATGCTCTGCTCCAGCAAAGCAGCTAACCTCCCACCAATATGAGACTGCATACAGCAAGGGACGACTGGGTCAGGCACAGGGAAAGGGCCCGAGGTCCCTACGTGCAGCGTGGGGCAGACAGACGGTGGCGTGGATGGACAAGGGAGACCAGGAAGAAGGCCGAGGATGGAGGCTGTGAGCCAGGGAGCCTGGAAGGATACACTGTGAGGCTGCGCGGTTGGTTGGACAGGGCAGCTCTGAGCAGGCCGGGATGCAGACAGTGACCTGGAGGCTGTTCTCCCAACAGCAGAATGGTCTGTAATACTGGAGGTAGTTCAAAACAGGACGTATGCCCAAGAGGCAGCATGAAGCAGCAGCACAGTGCCCAGCTGGCCAAGGGCTGGAGGGCCCAAGGGCTCAGAGACAAGCAAGGGCCACAGCATCCAGCCTGCCAAGTCAGCGCAGTGACAGCTGATGGCAGGTCCCTGTGCCTGGTGACGCAGGTTCCCAAGAGGGTGAGAAATGAGTGCAAATCAGAGTGGCATGGAGGACAGGTCTCTGCAAGGGTGAGGAGAGCCAAACCTGGAGAAGAGAAGCCGCAGCAGCCTGAGCCCAGCGGAAGGCAGAAGTCTGGGCTGGGGAAGCTGGGCTGCAGGCAGACACCACAGGTGAAGGCCAGAAGAGGAGTGGGCATAAGGGGAGCAGTCAGGAAAGGGGCCCAGAGCCAAAGGGGGCAAATGCTGAAGAATGCCAGGAGTAATGCCTGAAATGCAGCTGTCCAGCGGGTTAGAGACACAGAGCAAACCAAGGGGCAAAGCCAGAGACCCAGCAGGGCCACCTGGCCTTCTCCCAGAGATGCCAAGGGAGGCCTTGCCCTGATAAACCAAAACAGGCATCCGAAGCCAGGGAAGACAGGAAACAGCAGATTTGGGAAAGCTCAGGAACTCCACTTTAGACAGCCGCGAGTCCACTCCAGCGCCAAGGCCACGCTCTCCGCCTTGTCCCCTGGATCCAGCGCCCACTGATACGCATCTGAGGGCTGCCTAGACTACAGGTCTCCTTAGCAGCAGAGAAAAGCCCAGCAGCACACATGCCCCCTGCAAGAACAAGCTGGTAACAAGTGGAAGTGTTCAATACTCACAGGAACAATAAGCCCTTGCCAAGTCAATAAATTAGCTTCATCAACCTGGATGTTACGGAAGTTTTTCATTCCACATTTGCGGATCTCTTCAAGCTCCTGTTGATTAACAAAGCATAAAGGGGTGTCAAACAGGGGAAAACACCACATAGTAAGATCCCTCCTGACTCCCTCAAACCACACCAAGGGCCAAGACAGCGCTTGCCGACCTGCTTAAGGAGGCGTGGCACTTCAGTGGTGCCTCCTGGGGGTGCTGCCTGCACTCCTGCCCCAACAGGATGAATCTCGGAACAGGATGGGGAGAGTGTGCTCCCCCAGACGCACTACTTCCTCTCAGGGTCACTCACCAAGTCTGCTGAAGCACCCTCAGCCCCCGTGCCTGGGGCTGACCTGACCTGAATCTAACTTGTTTCAACCAAGTTGTGTCATGTGCTGACCACGCACTGGATCCTGAGACTGCTGAGATGAGCAAAACGGGACCAGGAGCCAACCAGGGGAAACACATCCCCACGGAGTCTCCGCCTCTACCCATCCCTACAAGTGTGATGCCAGAGGACTGGGCCTCAGCACAGGCACCCAGTGAACAGAACGTACCAGACTGGGGTGGGGAGGGGTGACACCACTGTCACAGATCTTGGTCTCCTCGGCCTCAAAATAGGGAGTAACAAGACCCAGGGAGGCAGATGACAATGGGAAGTCATGTCACAGAGCAGGCCTTGCTGGCAAAACTGCCAGCCGACGCAGCACGTGCCAGTTCAACCCCAAAGCAGCAGCACTTTGTGTTCAGCTGTGGACTAGCCCAACACCTCTCACTTTCTCCCGACACTGCAGGGGAACTTGCAGCAAGTGTGTTGTAACCGAGGTGGTGCAGCCCGCACCCTACCACCCACACCCCGGCATGGCCAGCATTCCTCCCTGTCTCACACCTGCAGTGCCAGACCCAGCCTCCTGTCCAGGGCACTACAGCACCCTCCGCATCTCAGATGCAACCTGGGTACCACCCAGCTGGGGGCTACCTCTTCAGCCCAGTGGCTTCCTCCCAGGCCTGCGAGTATCCGGCCAAGAAGAGAGACTGCAGAAAGGTGGTCAGGACACACTGGTGCTTTGGGGCAGGGGATAGGCACCGCCCCTCTTCCCACAGGGTGTCACAGCCATCAGTCCTAGCTGCCTGCCTTCCACACTCATCCAGAAATTCTGGCCCGACAAGTACGTGCAGCCTTAATGTAAAAATTTCTGTTTATGCTTATTTACTTGATATGCAGTGACACAAGGAGAAGAAGCAACAGAGAAACAAATGCCACCCAGGTTCCCAGGTGAGTGGCAGGGACCCAGATGGGAAGGCGACCCTCCACGATGAGATGTGAGCACTGGAAGCTCTGGCTTCACCTTAGCCAGGACTTAAGCTGCACTCTGTGTTTTTGGTCATGGGCTGAAGACACTACACAGATACTTAGCTAGAACAAAAGACAAGTTTCTTTTAGGCCTCAGTGCTACCAAACTATTAAAATGAAAATGACTTAAACCAATTCAAACAGGAAAAAATATTCCAGATAGTGTTACATAACTGCCCAATCAAAAAAGAAACATCAGCAGTGAATTGGTGATTAAAACGTTCCCGTCCGTGCCTGAATTAGATACTCCAGTTCTGGTTTCCGACTTGGGCTGCCTTGCTAATGCAGAACCCTGGAAGGCAGGAGTACCAGCTCAAGCGGGGTTCCTGGCAGCCGGGGGAAGTCCTGGATGGAGTTCCCAGTCCCCAGCCCCTGCTAGGGGTCATGGTAAGCATTTTGGGAAGGAGCCAATAAATCCAATGACTGGAAACTCCCTCTTCCTCTTTCTCTCAAACAAGGTAACAAAATTGTTTTTTTGGGTTTTTTTTTTTTTTTTCGGAGCAGTAGCCTAGCAGTAGCCTAGCGGCTACTGAAGTTCTTGCCTTGCATACACCAGAATCCCATATGGATGCTGGTTCTAATCCCAATGGCTCCGCTTCCCATCCAGCTCCCTGCTTGTGGCCTGGGAAAGCAGTCGAGGACGGCCCAAAGCCTTGGGACCCTGCATGCACGTGAGAGACCCGGAAGAGGCTCTGGGCTCCTGGCTCTGGATCAGGTTGGCTCCAGCCGTTGAGGCCGCTTCGGGAGTGAATCATTGAATGGAAGATCTTCCTCTCCTTCTCTCCTCTCTGTATATCTGCCTTTCCAATAAAAATAAAATAAATCTTAAAAAAAGAAAATCTAAATAGACAGCTGACACAAGTTTATGCTGGCATCTGCAATACAGCATCCCACAGCAGAGCAGCAGTTTGAGTCCTGGTTGTTCTTTTTCTCAACCGGATCCTTGCTGATGCACCCTGGGAAGCAGCAGAAGACTGTTCAAGTGCTTGGGCCCCTGCCACCCATGTAGGACCATGTAGCACCCTGGGGTCCCAGCTTCGGCCTGGCTTAGCTCTGCTTATGATAATCCTGAGAGTGAACCAGCAGATGGAAGATATTTCTCTTTCTCTGTGTAATGGTGGGCCTTCCAAATAATAAATAAACCCTTTAGAAAATCTGAATAGGAACTGGCATCTGTGCCACAGGAGATAAAGCTGCTGCCTGTCTGGTCCAGCTAGCACCCTGCAAATGAATGCGCCTGGGAAAGCAGCAGAGGACAGCCCAAGTGCTTGGGCCCCTGGCCCCAAGTAGGAGATGGCGCAGAAGCAGCTGCTGACCGCTCTGGCCCAGCCCTGGCTGTTGTGGTTATCTGTGGAGCGAACCAGAAGCTTTCTTCATAACTCTTTCAAATCAATCTTTAAAAAAAAAAAAAAAAAAAAGAGCAAAAACTAAAACCACTAAGTATATCTTATAGCATCCATAAATCCACATGCCAGTAATACAAAGTCTGGGTGACATGACAGTGTGAAGTTCACAAGAATAACAAAAATACAGCAAGGTGAGTCCAACTGTAACACAGCAGCAAAAACTATTGCTCACAACGGCTGGGGGACTTCAGATAACCATCTCAATTTACCCTGCTCCGTCAAAGCACACTCTCCCCCGCCGCACAATTTGAACCAAGAACAGATTGTAAGAAGAGAGAGAAAAAAATGAAACCAACTAATAAAACCGGCCCTCGGTGAGGCAGAGCGTTTCTCACTAGTTTGTAGCCGACCAGCTGAGGAAGCACCCCACACTTGAGTGGCCCGAGCCCTGTCTGTCAGACAGAGGTCAGGCACGCCGATCCCACCCCACCCAATTTCCCAGTGTTCTCTAGAGCCCCAGTTGGCAGCCACAAGCCCGAACAGCGGTCAGGCCGCTAAAAGTCCTGCATTGCACAAGTCAGCACTGTGAGCAAGAACCGTCCAGCCTAAAAATGCCAATCACGCCTCCACCACAGAAAACAACTGAAGGACATCGACTCCACTGATCCCGGGTGAGAGCTGAGATCCCAAAACTAAGATGACACAGAGTCCTACACGGCAAACCCCTGAGCAAAGCTTTGCCTTGCGGACAAAGAACTGGGGAAGGAAGGTGGGAAAATCATAGAAATTCAGAGTTTGAATTAAAAGGGACATTAACAAATGATAGAAGGACTCAACAAATGAAACCTCCAAGAGGGACCCAGCTCCACAAGAACCAGGAAGACAAAAGCCAAGCAAGCAGGAACTTACAAAACGCTCCCACAAAGGCTTATCTCGGTTCCGCTCAGAACAGGAGGCGGCTCCAGGTCAGCTGCTCTAGGCAGGTGGCGCAATGCTGACAGCTGAGGAGAGCTCCAAGGCGTGCACACCCAGCCAGCTCACCCGCTCCTTACCCAGGGCAGGCAGTACAGAGGCAACTGAACAAAGTCCTAAACATGAGGTTGCTTCTGAATCCAGCCAAGGGGCCCCATCTAGCAGCTCTGCCAACAGTCAGCAGCAGAGCTGGGCCCTGGCTCTGGCCCATGGTGCCTGGTGCCCCCAGGCTGAAGAGCAGACAGGCAAGCAGACGCCAACCGAGCGTGCCCAGCACTCTGGATTAGCAAAAAGGCCAGCAAAGTCTATGGACGCCGGTTAGTGTCCCAGCTGCTCCTTTTCCAATCCAGCTCCTGCTAACGACCTGGGAAAGAAGAGGACAGGCCGAGGCATTGGGCCTTGAAGCCACATCAGAGACCCAGGAGCAGCTCCTGGCCTCAAATTAGCTCAGCTTTGGCCATCAGAACCGTTTGGGGGAGTGAACCAGAGGATGGAAAAACCCCTGTCTTTCCTGCTATGTATACATAATCTTCCTTTTGAAAAAAGTAGATCCCGAGACAGTTACCGAGACCTTCACTCCACTAGCTCACTCCCAAACGGCTGCAATAGGCAGAACTTGGCCAGCCCAAAGTTGGGAGCCAGAAACTTTTTCTGGGTCTCCGATGACGGTGCAGGGACCCAAGCACTTGGGCCATCTTCCCCCTGCTATCCCAGGCCATGAGCTGGGAGCTGAATCAGAAGTAGAGGAACCACAACTCAAACTGGTGCCAATATAGGATGCCAGCACCACATATAGAGGCTTAGTTTACTCACCACAGAACTGAGGGTCCATCTCTCTCTCTCTCACACACACACATACACACACTCTCTCTCTCTCTTTCTCTCACACACCCTAGTACATTAAGCTGCAGTATGCAGTGCCCATATTCCATGACTGCCAATTTGAGTTTTGGCTGTTCCACTTCCAATCCAGCTTCCTGCTAACACGCCTGGCATTTTTCCTCACCAAGATTCATTCATTTCTTACTGGGCAAACGGAGACTCTATGACGGACTATGTCAATCAGTGGATTCTTCAACAACCTCATCGTGCTTGGAGTGGCAAGACTGGCAGCAAATCAAAGCCGGTAAACTATCAAAACCATTTGAGCAAGAATCTCGCAGCGTGCCCCACATCCGGGACCTGGGATGGGTGGGAGACTGGGTGGGACTTCTCCCTTAAAATACCCCTTTACCTCAGACACATGAAGGAAACAATGTGGAAATAACAGTCTTACCCACTTTCCTATAGCCATTGCACCTTTTTACCCTAATTAACTATGTAAAGATTGTCAAAAATATAATAACAAAAAAAAATTCATTCATTTCTATTGCAAAGGCAGATCCACAGA